CGGCCGTTTGATGGCGAGAATATGCAGGAGGTGATGCAGAAGGCGCTAGCCGGGAGGTACGATCCGCTGCCACCGACGATTAGCCCCGAGATGACGGAGGTTGTGACGTCGCTTCTCTGCGGGGATCCGCATGCCCGTCCCTCGAGCAGCAAACTGCTCAACATGCCCATCTGCAAGTTGTTTGTTTCTGGCCTGCTCGAGATTGTGCAGACGCAGCCCTCCTTTGCGGGCCCGCTACGTGACACGATATCCACGCACATTCAGAGCGTGAAGCAGTCACTGAAGGAGGAGCGGCGTGTGACTGTGAGGCAAATGGAGGAGTCTCAGTCGGCTGCGGCCGCGTCCACGACGATCCTGGAGGGGGCGACCCCCATGGGGAGCGTGGGGGACCTTACGCTGTATGAAGGCATTGTGAAGAAGCAGAGCGGTGATCTCGCGTGGAAGCGCCGGTATTTGTGCATCCGCGGGGCACTCGAGGAGGGCGAGCGGCTGGATGTGGGCAGGATGCCGAAATTCAAGAGTCTGGACCTTGTGTTGGCCGTATCGAAGGAGACAATGCGGCAGCAGTGCATCACGACGCCATTCTCTGAGTTGGAGGACGTGTTCCCTGTTGCAAGCAAGTACACAGGGTCGAATGCGCAGCATGTGTTTGCCGTGGCCTTCAAAACGGGAAGGCGCCTTCTTTTTCAGGCACGCGGTGATCCCGAGCGAGATGCGTGGATGCAAAAGATTCAGCAGACTCTTGGTATTGATGAGGCTGACTAACTTTTAGGAATTGTTTAAATACTCTAAATTTACTTTTATGCCTTTTGGCTTTTTGTGAGTGAAGGTTTTGTGCATGTGAAGATATTAGGATTGTTTCCCGCCCTGTGAGCTGAGTGATGTATATATATGTATATATATATATTTCTGTTATTTGGGGAATTTGTGTAGTTTACATTGCCTGATACATGATTTATGTGGATGATGTTTTCGTGCGTGGTCTTCTTGCGTTATTTATTTATTTTTGTGGGTTCTTCCGCGTGTGCGGTGATCATCTGAAGGTTAGGGAAACGGGACGAATTTTTGGGTGTAAGTGTGGAGGGCATCATGGGCAAAGGGCATGGAGGAAGATAAAAAACAAAACAAAACCAAAACTGCCTCCTGTGAGGAGTGTAGATGAATCAAAGAAGCTTTTTTTTTTGTTGTGTGTGTGTGTATCTGTTCTACCCAATCGTTCCCTGTTTATTTTATTTTATTTCTACCGGTGATTTTTTTTTTCTTTTTTGCGTGTTTTTTTTTTTCTGGTGCTTTTATTTATTACCCTGTTTTGTTTTTTGTTGTTATTTTTATTGATTTTTGTGTATTTCTGTAAGGTTAACTCTGCATGTGTGTTTGTATGTGCACATAGGCGAATATATATATATTTATATTTTTCCTATTGGGTTCTCTGCTGGTTTTGTGTTGTGTTTTTTTGTTTTCTCTCGGTGTGAGGAAGTAGGCGGAGGAAAGTTTTTTGTCGTCTCCCTGCTCCTCTTAGGAGAATGCAAAGATGTTTGTTTTTTCTGCCGCTGTGAAGGAGCGTCTCTTCTTGTCTTCTTGACGGACCTATGGATGTGAACCCAACGGGGATTATTAGAATAGGATGAGTGAAGGGGGATTTGGTGATTGCGTCCCGCCCATATGCAGAGAAGCCCTTTGACACCCAGTGGAAGTGCCATGTACAGACACATCATGGCGTGTCTGAGGGTTCGGCGCAGTGCAGCTGTGCTCCCTATTGCAGTCACCACCGTGCATGTTTGGTTCACTTCGCGACGCTGGTGCGCAGGCTTTCCTCAGGGTTCAGAAGCGTCTGCCAAACTACTGGAGCTAATGGACGCCTTTTCAGAGGCGCGTGAACTTATTGAGGAAGCAAAGGAGAGCGCTGGTACGGTTTATGCCGCGGAGGACATGCAGGAGGCTAAAGAGCAAACAGAGAAAACATTGGCTCTGTGGAGAGAGCTTCAGACACACT